ACACACACACACACACACACACACACGAGTTAACTTCCTTAATCCAGTGTTGCACTAGCCTGGCTCTGGTAAGTAATGAAACATACATTTTTAAAAAGACAAGCAGGATTCTCTTGGGGTTATATAGCAAAATGAAATTGGTTCTATGGAGATTCATAACTATGGATACTGTTTGAATTCATTCAAGCTTACCATGTGAAAATGTATTATGTAGTTTCCCCTACTACAGATAATATAGCTTGGCCTGTGTTTATTCCTTGTCAGTTTGTGGAGTACACATTTAACATTATCTGAAAGGGATGAATTTGATTGTATGAAGTTTCTAATAAAAAAATTTCTCCTTCTACATTTTTGTAACTTGTAATTCTCATCCAAAGTTCTATCCTTCTCCCCTTTGTTAGGCAGTTTCTTTGCAAGACAAAAAGATTAATGCCTTCCTTTAAAATGCTTTGCCAAGATGCTTCAAAGTTTTGCTTAGGCATCTATTTGAATGCTCAAATTAGCCACATCAATTTGAGTAGTTAGTTTAAACTATTTCAGGCAGAAAATGAGTCAGAAAGATTTTTATAAAAGTTCTACAAAATGAAAAATAGGACAACTTCACTTTAATTTTTCATTTTTCTGGTTTTACAATTTTTTGTTTCAAGTCAATTTGTTCTTTAAAGGAAAAGAGCACATACATTTTAATAAAAAGTATTCCAACAAAGTAGCTTTAATAATATTTTAAACAGAAAATGTAATTTCACCATACTCGCCCAACAGAAAATTGTTAAGAAATAGTAATACCATTCTACCACATTTGGAGGAAAAACTTCAGGACATTACCAGTTCTTTTTTTTTTCCTTGCCAGTCTAGCTATGCAGCCCAGGCTGGCCTTGAAGTTTCCTCAGTTCTCCTGCCTCAGCCTCCTCATACTGGGATCACAGGTATGTACCACCACACCCAGCTTCCACCGGTCTAAAACAGGGTTTACCTTTCTGGTGGAATCAAATACTAAGAAGGAATGCTTTTTAGATTATTTCCAAACCCACATAAGTGTCTCAGGACTACTAGAAAGAATGTAAGAGTATACTTGGTTAGGTATCAACCATTCTCCATTGTGTAAAGAAGCATATGACTTAAGTCGGTAAACATACTGGAAATTTTTCTGTCACTGTTTCTGTTTCCTGTTGGTTAGGAAATGCCGTAAAAAAACATACCTTGTTTAAATACTTTAACCAGTAAAAAATACTATTTTAGGTATTGTAGCACCACTGAAGCATTTCCTGTCCTTAATAAGTTAGTAATAGATTAAACACACACTCAGTTAATGGCTTTTTTCTGAATCAAAGTAACAAGACAGTCAAATGCAGTTCAGGTTCACTGTTTTACCTCACTAAATAACTTACTATATTTCCTGGAAATTAAAAGTCCTCAATAAATGTGTGCAGCAGGTGACAGAAGATTCAATTCACTGGTATTTGGAATCATGAAGGAGAACAGGAAGAATCAATTTTTTCTCAATCTAACTTTGATCTAAATTTAGGTAATGCACACTTCCTGTGGTAACTTTTCAAGTTGCAATGTTTTTGATGTTAAAATTGCTCTGTGAAGCAGTATTTTTGGTGGGATTTTTAGGAGAGAGAGAAGGGAAGGTGAGACCAAGGACTGGATTTCATTAAGAAAAATATATTCACTGAATATGTATGTGTGTGTATCTGGGTGAAAAATACCTGTGTACCTTTGTTTTGAGCTTTCGAGGGAGGCATGGTGCCACTGAGCTAAACACCAGGCCCTACCTTGATTTTTGACAGATCTGGGCTGACTATACTCTAGGCTTTATGTTTCAGAGGTGAGACAATTTTGATTAGAAAATTATCTTTCCTAAATAATAATTAGAAACTGAGCCAAACATTTAGCTCAGTGGCACCACGCCTGTCTGGCAAACACAAGGTCCTGAGTTCAATCCTTGGTACCAAAAAAAAAAAGGAAACTGCAAGTGACTCAAGGATTCTCTTTAAACTTATTTCTTCTTGTCCCCAGTTAGTGCAATTATATTTAAATACAGAAATGCCAAGCTGGGTGTGGTAGCACATGCCTGTAATCCTAGCACTCAAGAGGCCAAGGCAGGGGGATCACCATGAGCTCAAGGCCAGCTGGAACTGCATAGCAAGACTTTGTTTCATAAAACAAAACAGGGCTGGGGATTTAGCTCAGTGGTTTTGCCGCCTGCTGCGCAAGCGCAAGGCCCCGAGTTCGATCCTCAGTATCAAACAAAACAAAAAACCCCACAAAACAACAAAACAAAAAAAGAAATGCCGAACAATGGGCTCTTTTGTGATCCTCTAAGTCTGTAGGGTCACAGACCTGAGATTGAAACAAATTCTTTTTACGGAGGGAGGGGCTGCTCACATTAGACAGTAAGTAAGGTGGGTCACATTGAGTCACTGTCTTGCCCTCTAGCATATGTCAGGACACCTGAGTGACAGTATCCATGCCTGCCACTCTCTGAATAGTCCCATCCAGTAAACCTCAGAAGATTAAAACATTTACAGCTGTCCATATGGTTCACACTTCACTTTATATAAGACATTGCTATACACTTTCTGCTGAGATCCTGTTTCCCCAACTCATGATTTCAATGCAATTTAGAACAGCTGCTGCAGAGACCTGGCATTAACATCCAACTTTAAGGATTAATCACCAATGATGTTTTCATAATTGGGCTCTGAAAAATTCTATTCTTCCCACTCTAGAAATAGTGGCAGCTGTCAAGACATCAAAATGAAAGAAAGAACCCAGGCGTGGTAGCACCTGCCTATCACCTCTGCACACTAGGAGGCTGAGGCAGGAGGATTCAAAGTTTGAGCCCAGCCTAGGCAATTAAGGGAGATCCTGTTGCAGAACAAAAATAAAAATGGCTGGGGTTGTAGCTCTGTGTGCAGACCCAAGGTTCAACTCCAGTAGGGAGGTTGGGGGTGCAGTGAAAGAGTGGAAGCTAACTGCTGAGAACCTGCAGGGCTAGCTGGAAAGGTGGGTGACCTCAGTGCTCCTGATGACCCTGCAGTCCCAACAGGGCCTTAGGCTGGTGGCCACTGCTACCTCAGCAGAGCTCCCTGGGACAGTAAGTGGGCACAGTTCTCTTGGTCCTATTTGCACCACCAATGATGGTGACACATAAAACACCTGCTTATAAAACAAGCTTCAAGGGCAAACTCCAGAGCCACTTTAAGTAGGGAGGGACTTGCAGCTTTTTCACTTTTTAACCAATCATGACTGTAGAACAGGTCTGCTGGGCGGGGCCAGTCTAGAGACTGCAGGGCGGGGTGTGAGGGCCCCTGGTGAAATCTGGGATCCTTAACCACCAGCATCATTTCCCCAGGAAATGCTCAATGCCAAACCTTTATGGCTGGCATACCCACTCCCTTTCTAAAGAAAGAAAAATATGAATGGTTTCTTTTTCCCTATGATGCTGTTACCACCTTGGAATACTATTTTTTTTGGGTTTTTTGGTACCGGGGATCTTACCGGGGTCCTTGCGCTTGCTCGGCAGGCACAGGAACCACTGAGCTAAATCCCGGCCCAACCTTGGAATACTATTAAGAGTAATAGTGAAAAGGGCGCGGATTTAGCTCAGTGGTTTTCCTGCCTGCTGTGCAAGCCCAAGGACCTGAGTTCGATCCCCAGTACCAAAAAACAAACAAACAAAAAGAATAATTGTGAAAAAAGGAGGTTGAGATGTTGGAAAGAATACAGAATTTCAGTTAGGACAAATAAATTTCAGAAACGTACAACGTGTGCTACAGTCAATAATATACATTTGAAAATTGCTAAGAGTAGATGTTAAGCATTTACTCTACAAAAAAATGATCAGATTGTGAGGTAAGGCATGTCAATGAGCTTGATTTAGCCATTCCACAATGTATACTTATTTTAAAACATCATGCTGTTTACCATAAATATATGACTTCTGTTTTGTCAATTAAAAATGATTTTGAACATCACCTTGGATGTTCTTCATCTTTTTCAGGGCATTCATTTTTCAGACAAGCACAACTGATAATGTAACCTGTTATTTTAGTTTTAAATTTACAGATGATGGCTTAGATATACTAACACTGAATCTACCTTTACCTCTCCTATCCATTTCCTCTTAAATTTTCTTCTTTATTGGAGGGTGGTACTGGGGACTAAATCCAAGGCCCCACACTGAACTATGCCTCAGGACTTTTGATTTTTAAATTTCAAAACAGGGCCATGGTAAGTGGTAAAGACTGGCCTTGGATATGAGATCCTCATGCATAGCTGGGGCTGGGATTAAAGGCATGTGCCACCCCACCTGGTCTAAAGTATTGTTTATACCAATGCTCTAAGACATTCTTCTACATTAATTGGAAGGGTTGATGGAGAAGAAAGCAAGGTAGAATGATCTTCACTGGGTTTGCAAACCAGCTAAACTCTGATCTTAAAAAGAGAGAAAAGTAAATAAGGAATAATCCAATTAAGTCCGTTCTGACAAAACACAGTTTTGAGAATGTGATTATCTCCAATTTAGGGGTCAGCAAACTATGGCTGGATTTACCTTTTTATAGTGGTTACAGAAAAGAAGAAAAATATTTTGTGCTCCATGAAAACCATACACTTCAGCATCCATAAGTGAAGTTTTCCTGGAGCACACCCACAGTTGTTCAGGGTCTACAACTGCTTTGTACTAGGATGGCAGGCTGAACGGCGGCAAAGCCTGATGATCCAGGTAATGGTGTCACTTTTTGCTGGGGAAGTGCTTGAAACACACAACTCTGGTAAGAATTAACCCTGTTTCAAGGTAAAGGTCACAAAGGAGATTTTTATGAAATCACTTGAGGCCTCCAAAAGCCCTGTGGAAAAAATCCTTGGTATACACAAATTAGCATTCTAAGGAGAGGATATTAGGAAACTCACCTGGTCACTGGGCTCAAAGCTCATCTCCTCCTTCTCAGTTTTCATAGCTATTAGCTTTGTGTTACTGGCAGGGTCTGTCTTACTGTCCAGTCGCTCAAGTTTGGGGGTTATTTCTGGTAAACCAATATCTTTAGTATCATCTTTATCTAGCAAATAGCGAAGTAGTGCATTTTCTTTCTTCTTGGGGCTCACTGGCTCTTGTTTAATAGTCACTTCTGACCCAGGAGCTGTGCTGGTGGACTCTTGACTTAGTTCTTTGCCTGTGGCTTCCGCTGTTAGCTTGGCTAAGTCCACAGGGGAACTGCTGTCCTGCAAGAGTCTGTGCAAAATTTTATGCTTCTCCTTGAGTGAGGTCCCATGGGTGGATCCAGAGCTGGGCAAGCTACCTGTGGAGTCCTTGTTTGTATCCGACAAAGAGTTGGGTAAGGGTGAAGGCTCCACCTGGTCAGACTTGGTGGTCAGCAGCTGCAGGAGCTTGGTCTGCCCTTTGCTGTCGTGCAACCTGTTCTGTCCCTCGGCTCTCTCACCACTTGCCCCCTGGGACATGCTGGAATCGTTTGTCTCTTTCTGTTCTCCAGGATGGCAGGTGCTCTCAGACTGTCCAGTTGTGCCTTCCGATGGCTCCCCATAAAGTCCAAAACAGTCTTTGGAGTCCAAGCTTCCCATCTTGTTGAGTGGGGGAGGATTCATATTAACTGGGGAGTTTTGCAAATTGCCCATTTTTAGGTCTGGTGAAGCCAACGATGACCCTAATGAGACCCCGTGCCCCTCGCTGAGGGCCTGAAGTGCATTGAGGGAACTGTTGGTATAACTATGGCTATTTCCTGTGCTGCTGCAGACTCCCACGGGGGAATGCAAGCTTCCTGCAGGGGAAAACTGACTGGGTGGGATGCGAGGACTGCCAGCCACTCCGGGGCTCATGCGATGCCTTGGTGAGAGCATGGAGTTGGGCTGCCCTGGATTCATGCCAGGGCTGCTCTGTGAGGGACTGTTCATTTTGAGTGCATAGTTACTACCCTGAGGAGTGGTTGCTTGCATGCCTGACACATGGTTCATTCCCCCAGAACCACCAAACCTGCCCATGGGCATGCCCATTTGTTCCTTTGGGCCATTTATGGGAAAATTTATATTGCTACTGAGGGTCATGTCCTGACCTGGGTTCCCAGTGCACATGGCCTGATGGGCAGGGCTGCTAGAGCTAATTGGATTCAATGGCTTCCCCATTGCTTGTCCAGTCAGATCCGGATTCATTACACATATGTTCTGCTCTCTGTATAATGAGGAAAGAAAGAAATGTAAGATAAAAGGAAAATACTTCACAAGTTGTTATTAATTTTGAAAAATGAGATGGCTTCTTTTCTCTACAAGCACAGACTGCATTTAAAGGATAGACAATACTGGGATGAAACCATCTGCAATTACAGACAAGACTGAACATGCACAGTTTTAGACCAAGGGGGATGTTTTTGAGGCAACTCATTAAGATGTCTGTGGTTTTACAGAGGGGGTATGTTTAAATTTGACTACTACCATACTGACATTGCACTTCGTACAGTAGACAGGGTATTAGAGGGGCTCCAATTACATATATATCTTCCTCATGAGGAACACAGCTTGTACTGTCAAAGAAATGATCCAAACAAGTATAGCTGTCTTCAAATATTTGCCAGAAATTACAATTCCTAACAATAAACACATCTGTAGGGCTCAAGAGCTCTGCTATACATTACCTGGGCTCAAGATGGACTGCAAATATAGAGAGGAAAACTTGTCCCTAACTATACAGGGACTGCAGGGTCTAGAACTAAGAGAGCTGTTAAAACTGTTTGGAATTAGATCACCTTGTCTAACAAATTTCCACTCACCTCCCCAACTCCAAGTCAGGGCCTAAGAGCTGACATAGGAGGGAGCTTTGGAGTGATCTCTGTGATTTTATTCCTTCACTCTTGGATAACTCCAACCTGCCCCTTAACTAAGGGACTAAAAGCAGGTTTTCAGAACAAGATGATTTCCCAAGCCCAGTGAACTTTCATTTTCAGCTCTGGCAGTCACTTGTGAGATACTAAACATGCTCACAAATCCAAACAAAACAGGTTTCACAAGATGTCACACTATCAGCCTTCAGCTAGGTGGGTGCAATCTGGCACACCTGTAATCACTTTCAAAATGTTTCACTTTGAAGTTAGATTTATTAACAGCTGGCAATCAGGGCTGCCTGATTTTTTTATTCCTACATAATAAATAATTGAGAAATGGGACTCTTCAACCAGAGCAACTCTATTTACCTTCTGATTGTACCTCATAAAGTTTCATAGCACACATACATAAATATTCATGTAACTTCAAATTTAATCATTTTCTTTAATGTATGCTCTTAAAACAACACGATTTTTGATATTTATTTTTAAGTCAACATTCACTTTTCTTTCCTTTATTATAAAAGTCTATCACTCTTCAGTTTGAAGTCTAATATCCAAAAGCTAACTTAAATCCAGAAACAAAAACCTAAATCTAAAACATTCTACATGTATACACGTGAAGGTTTTAGATTTAAACACACAAGATCAGAAATCATGCTACTGGTTTCAGTATTCCTGTCTTGCCTGTGTTGCCACTAGGAGCAGATCAATTTCATTGTAAAGGACGATCACATTGGAGTGAAGCTAGTGTGATGTGTTCTTTCAGCCAAATTTTCAAGGCTAAAATTCAAAGGGTAACTCTAACTTGCCAATGTTATGAGCTAGTTTTTAATCAAGAGTTCATGACAACCTAATTTTATACTATATACTACCAGGATTGATGAACAGAAATGTCTAACAAACCTGCAAAGCTGTAGGACAGTTTGTTGCTTTTGTAATATTTTCTCTCAACCTGGGAAAATGAGTTCTTACAGTTAGCATTACCTGTGAAGCATGTGTAAAGATATTACAAGCTGAGGCTCATTAGTAGTCTGAGAACGGATCAGTTTGCTCTTCGTTTGCGCAGCAACAAGAGTGCCATCGGACAGGGAGAAACGATAGATCTGACTGAATGCCAATCCTTGTCTCAGTACTGAAGGCAAACAAGGAAACAATATATGTTTAGGGAAAAAGAAAACTAATGGGCAGAGGCATAATAACAGTAATAAACTTAAATAAGTTTCTTGTTATTTTCCTACCAACATGTTAAAAAAGAGTAAGACTTCATAACAGTAAAGCATTATAAAAGCACATTTACTTTCTACTCAAAATATCCATAAATTTAGTAATTATTTTTGTTATGAAAAAGAGTAACAGCTTGGCTCCAAATGTGCTCTTAAATCTTCAGTATCAGGGCAAAACAGTGTGTAAATGGTTTCAAACATCAGATAAAAGTAAGATTTCCAATGATATAAAAATGTTTAGGGGCCGGGGATTTTGCTCAGTGGTTTTGCCGCCTGCTGCGCAAGCACAAGGACCAAGTTCGATCCCCGATACCAAAAAAAAAAAGTTTAAAAAATACCTTATAAGGGCCGGGGATTTAGCTCAGTGGTTTTCCTGCCTGCTGCACAAGCGCAAGGACCTGAGTTCAATCCCCGGACCAAAAACACAACAAAACAAAACAAAACAAAACAATACCTTATAGACATGAACAATTTGCTTTTGATTCCTTTACAATACAAACATTAAAATATTTGGTATTAATTATGCTCTCTGAATATTAATCTAGAAGTAACACTGGTGCATGCATCATCTCATACTCCTTTTCTTCAATTTTGTCTCTCATGCTGTAAGAAGTATTATTTCCATGCCTATGACATTAAGTAAAAAACAATCAGAATAATCTTTTCAGAGGAAAAAAAGGCTAAAGAAAACTGAAACAATAAAATACAAATTTTGCTGATGTGTCATTGTTTTATTTTAACTTTCAGATACTTTCATTCTTTTTTTGGTACCGGGGATCAAAGATACTTCCATTCTTTTTTTTTTTTGGTACCAGGGATCAAACTCAGGACCTTGCGCTTGCCAGGCAGGTGTGCTGCTACAGAGCTAAATCCCTAGCCCCATATACTTCCATTTTTGAGACAATTGACAAAAGAAGACAATATACAGTAATAAACCAATTAGGTTAACATATTTTCTCTAAAATATATAAATATATTTTTTTTGGTTTTGTTTGTTTTGAGACAGGGTCTTGCTGTGTAGTTCAGGCTGGCCTTGAACTAATGACAACTCTCCTGCTTCAGCTTTCTGAGCGCTGGGATGATAGGAATGCACTATCACACTGGCTAATTTCTCTAAAAAAATCTTGAGATTTATTTTGTCAACCAATGGTATTTTATAACTATCCAGTACTTCAAAAAAGAGTATTTCAATTGGGAAAAAAGAGCCATGTAATCTAGTTGTCTCTTGAACTACTTTATTTTTTTGAGACAGGGTCTTGCTATGTAGTTCGGGCTGGCCTCAAACTCACTATGTAGCCCAGGCCAGTCTTGAACTCACAGGGATCCTCCTGCTTCAGCCTCCGAAGTGCTGGGATTACAGGCATGCATAACCACACCTGGCTTCTTAAACTATTTTAAAAAGGTCTGTCCCACGTTATCCTCAGAACAAATTTTGTGGGCTGAATAGTTAGACCCAAAGCAACATTCACCACGCCACAAAATTGCCACAAGTTACACACCGGGGCGGGGGGGGGGGGATATAGGGAGAGAGAGAGTGTACACTCTGATTTCATGGTAAAATTTCATTTTGGACAGTTTGTCTAATGACTCCCCTGCAGTTTCAATTAGATACCGTGCTTAGTATTACTTTCTACCATCAACTGTTGCATAGTTACTGTGAAATGGCAGTACTGGAAATGAATGACTGTACAGATGAGATGTGTGTCTTGCTTTGCACAATAAATATGTACCTAAAATGCAATGTAAATACAATTTTTATAATAGGATGCACATTCCCAGTGGCTTATGATTTCAGAATTTTATCTGACCTTGGCTGTATCCCTTAAGATTTTCCATTTCCGCTGGCCTACATTTAGCATCTCTGCTAAGCATGCATGTGCGTGTACCTGAACCATTTAGCAAGCTGCCCCATTTACAAAACCGTTCAGTGACTTCCATTCACTGTGAAAAATTACCTATTTGGCAAGTATGCAAGTCTATATGGGTTTCCTTTCGGTAGCCTCATCTGTTTAAACCTAGCACAGTGTTTGGTACATCCATGCAAACCTTCTTGTAAAGAATGAGGAAGACACAGAATTAAATGTAGGGCTATTACAAACTGTGTCACTATAAACATGGGTGCGCATATATCACTGTGGTATGATTCTTTTAATTCTTTTGGAAGATACCCAGCAGGGGAATAGTTGGGTCAAATGGGACTTCTAATCCTAGTTCTTTGAGGCATCTCCATATTGATTTCCACAGTGGTTGCACAAGTCTACACTCCCACCAACAATGAAGGGTTCCTTTCTTCCCACAGCCCCACCAGCATTTGTTATTGGTTGATTTCTTGATAGCAGCCATTCTTTCTGGGGTGAGGTGGAATCTCAGTGTTGTTTTCATCTGCACCTCTCAAATGACCAGTGATGTTGAACATTTTTGCATATGTTTATTTGCTGCTTTTACTTGTTTGTCTGAGAAATGTCTGTTCATTTCAGATGCCCATTTTTGAATTGGGTCTTTATATTTGGGGAGTTTGATTTTTTTTTTCTTTTTGGTACTACTGGGGAATCAAACTTGGATCCTTGCACTTGCGAGGCAGCTGGTGGAACCACTGAGCTAATTTCCCCGCCCTGAGTTCTTGATATATTCTAGATAGTTAGACCTTTGTCTGAGGAACAGCTGGTAAAATTTTTTTCCCACATTGTAGGTTGTCAGAAACAGCCCAATTGCCCATCAACTGGAGACTGGATAAAGAAGATGTGATTTTTAAAAATAAAATGGAGTAGTACTCAGGCATAAAGAATGAGAAACTAGAGACATTTATAGCTAAGTGGATGCACATTGAGGTCATACTCTTAAGTGAAATAAATAGGATACACATGTTTAGATACCAAATAGTTTCTCTGGTGTGAAAAACTACAAAGTGTAAATAAGAATCAAAATGTATAATTGATATTGTGAAATAGGAAGAAAAGGTCTAAAGGAGTAGGGGAAGTGGAAGGAGTAGGGGAAAGGAAAGAAAAAACATGAGAAAAGGAAAAAAATGGGAACAAAGTCTTTGTAAATAGGGAAGGGGTGGAGGGAGTGTAGGGAGGACAGAGGAATGGGGAAAAAATAAGAATCAGGATACATCATGTAAAGGTACAAGATGCCAATGATGAATGTAACTGTATTGTATACCTAAAATGTACCAATAAACTTAATGGAAAAAAAAAGTAGGGCACTGCTATTCAGGTCCCAGGGTCACTGAACACGTTGGCTTATGGTGATTTCTTTTTCTTTTTTTGGTACCCGGGATCAAACTTAGGACCTTGTGCTTGCGAGGTGGGAAGGGGAATCACTGAGCTAAATCCTTGGCCCTGGTGATTTCTTACTTTCTGTTGTTATTATTTACTTCAAGCCAGATACAGTGAAACAGTATGTTAAATATTGATTCCCATCAAAGATAGTATCTGTATTTTCTCTTACTCCTTCCAACTTAAGTAACAAATTGTTGGATTATGTGCTTTTTTGTTTTTTTTTTCGGTACCAGGGATTGAACTTGGGTCTTTGTGCTTGTGCAGCAGGCAGCGAAAATATGTGCTTAATTTTTAAGAAATAAGGATGAAAAAGATGAGTTGAGGAGAAAAAATAAGGGAGAAAGAGTGAGTTCATTTATTGTGATTTGTACTGCTTTATAAGCGATCTAGGGCCGGGGATTTAGCTCAGTGGTTCCACCACTTGCCTCGAAAGCAAAAGGTCCCAAGTTCGATCCCCAGTACCAAAAAAAAAAAGGGATCTAAAAAGTTTAAACATACAAACCTTACTGGCAAAATGCCAAGGTTACAAATGCACATTACTGTGATGACAAACGATGTCTCCATTTTCAATAATTAGTTATAAAAAAGATGCAGACAATTGTCCACTTTATAATGAGGTACACTGCTCTGCCATGAGTCCCTCATGCTGCATGGCCCATATTAACCAACTGCACTCATCAGGCATAGAAAGAAGAAAAGTGTCTCCCTCACCCACTAAGCACTTACTAAAGCAAAAGTATCTCTTCTTGGTTCTCACTTCTTTAAATGAAAACCATAATGCACTCGAGAAAAAGTGCTTCTGTGGAAAAACTTTTGAGAGCAGCACACCAGGAGTGAGCACCAGGGCAGGCCAGGGGACGTCCTGAGCTGATACTGACTGAATCCTGGAGAGTCCCTGGACCTGCCCCAACTCCCTCGTCCACAAATTCATCAGGTGGCTGCTGATAGGGTTAATGAAATGATGCAAAGGGACAAGGCCACACAAAGATCAGATACTCAACAAGGGCAGCATTATTCCTAAAAGATGACTTCGAAGGCCTTAGTTCCAGATGTCCTATTAAGTCTATAACCTGAGACAAGTCATTCACCTCTTTGAGACTTCTGGAAACATCTGAAGTCTGCTGTTAATCACCCTGAAGGAGGGCTTGGGATGCCCGTTTGCTCGGCCATGGATTCACTCATTCTTGCAAATTTCATTTATTCCTATTTCCATTTCTCTTATGAACCAGATACTATTTGTTTTTTTCCCTGATACTGGGAATTGAACTCAGGACCTTGTGCTTGGCAGGCAGGCATGGTGGCACTGAGCAACATCCCCAGCCCCCGATACTATTTCTTTAGACAGTGCCTTGCTGTTTTGTCATACATCTGGAAGCCATGGGAGCAAAGAAAATAACCTCTTCCCTCCTCCCTTTCTCCATCATCCTGCTCTGTCTCCTTCAGCATGGTCTTCTGACGTAGAGATCTCCTGTACCTCTCCTTCCAATGGCAGCAATCAGGGCAAATGATGCAAGCACAGAACACTGAGCCACCAGCTGACTCCAAGGTGAGCTTCAGAAACCACTGTCTGAGAGAATGTTCCCCCAGGAAACAATTATCTTCATAAAGTTCGCTTGAAGAAAATCACCACTCCGAGAAGCATACCTTCATGATGATGCCTCTTAGCGTAGGACACAGATTCCCCTTCATGCTGTGCATGGAACTTCTGGATGCACCTTCTCACCAGATCCTCCCAGCCTGGTTTCATGGCTGCTCTCATGGTACTAGTATCCAGAGAAGTGATCTTGCCTATGAGATAACAGTAGGAATTACACGTACTCATTTATTCTTTATAGAAAGAATTAAAATTAAAAAATACATACATTTGTTTATTTATTTTTGGTTTTCTGAGACACAGTTTTGCTATGCAATTCAGGCTGGGCTTGAACTTACTAAGTAGCCCAGGCTGGCCTCAAACTAGTAGTGATCCTCCCAGCTCAGCCTCCTGAGTGCTGGGATCACAGGTATGTGCTACCACACCCCCCTACATACATTTATTTATAATCATACCTCGGTATGTGGGGCTTTGGTTCTGGAACCTACTTCTCCCCATGAATACCCAAATCCATGAATGCTCAAGTTCTTTATATAAAATAGCATTTGTATGTAACCTACTACTTTAAAGTATTCTCCTGTATACTTTAAATCATCTTGATTACTTCCTAATACAATGCAAATTCTCTGTAAATGGGTGTTACACTATGTTACTTAGGGAGATATGATAAGAAAAAAGTCTGTATGCAATTTTGTTTTCCTGAATACTTTTTTTTTTTTTGGTATCAGGATTGAGCTCGGATCCTTCCGCTTGCAAGACAGGCGGCTTGCAAGACAGGCAGCGGAACCACTGAGCTAAATCCCCGGCCCTCCTGAATATTTTTCATTTGTGGTTGGTTGAATAAAAAGATAAGGAACCTGCAGATAGGGAGAAGGCATGAAACAAAAGGACATTTGATGAAAATAAGTCTTTCTCCTTCTCTTTGATCCTCCAGCTCCTCAGTACTTCTACCCTACCAGCAACACTTTTACCAGTCTTCTAAATATATTCCTTGCATTCACAAATATCTATTATTCTGAAATGACTTCTCAAAATAAAATTTACCTTGGAGATCCTGACGAGTAGTAAAACTTTCTGATGAGGGAAGAACTGGTCTTTCCTTCATGGGGACTCTTCTTGCCACACAAATCAAGCAGGACTGCAAATCTGAAATCATATACATTTATGTTTACCATTTGGGGCTTTAAAGTGATTCAGACATACTTGAACATTTATGACTGCAGAGTTGTGTAAATGGATAAGGGAAGATGAGAAAAACAGCAGGTCCCTCAGCTTCTCACTGCATTCTTCTTCAACAATGTGGGAGATATCTGGGAGGGAGGGAGAACATGCTGTGCAGGAGGAGCTGGGAGCAGAGGATATACAGGCGAAGCCACACAACACATGTGATGCGAGTACATCAGTGTGCAGAGGGCCAACAATCAGACACCATCTCCCCAGGGAGGAAAAGAACAGAATCTTTCTTATTAAACAGCTGAGAGTAATTTAACTTATAACGACTTACAAAATGATGAAAACCAAAATATGATATTTTGTTTTAAGAGGGGTTTGCTTTTTGAATTTTAGGTTTAACATGAGACAGAAAAACTGAAGCTTCTATCAAACTATGTAGGTAGCTCTACCTCAGCAATATGACATTGAAAACAAAGAATATAACTGAGTCTGGACACAGTTTCAGAGAACAACTCCCACAGTACCTATGAGTGTGTGCTGCAAGAGCTGGAATACAATTTAGAATTTTGATCATGGTTAGTTTCTCTCACTACCACTGTTAAGCATCTATTCTTTACCCTCTTCAATTGTTTTATGCATTGGGGTTCACTTCTGGAGAATGGGAAAATGTTTCATTTAACTTTGTAACTTGCAGGCCACACTGCACAGCACAGTTTAAAAAAGACATAAAAAGCTGTTAAAAAGAATAGAGTAATCTCTTCATATCTTACGTCACTGATTCATTTTTCATTTTTTGGGGTGTACCAGGGGTCGAATTCAGGACTTTGTGATTGCCAGGCAGCTGTAGCGCCACTGAACTGATTTGATTGTTCACCTTTAAACTTGGAAAGACTTTCCTGAAATATATCCAGTAATAGTTGGTATTTCAAAATTAGAATGTAATCATCACTAGGGCTGGAGCATGGCTCAGTGGTACAGCAAGTGCTCGGCATGCAAAGGCCCTGGGTTCAAACCCAGCAGCGTGTGTGCATGCGCATGCACGCACATGCATACGCACGCACACGCATCCACACGCACAGAGTAACTGCCATCATTACCAAAATAAGAGCTGAAGTATGGGACATTTAATATGAGACAAACATCTTTCTAGCTGCTTTACATGTTATCAACTCACTGGATCCTCTTTAAAACTCTGAGGCAGGTAGTCTCAAGAATTTCCACTAAACAGAACAAAACCAAAGCACAACGTTTAAGGAACTTGCCCAGCATACTACAAAACTTGGGCAAAGCTGGGTCTCAAACCTGAGCATACTGTGGCTCAGAAATCCTGCTCTTGCGCAACATTGTATTAACACACAGAATCTGATTTTAAATGTACAAAATGTGCTTAAATACGAAGCACAAAATAATAAATTAGCAACACCATTTTTTCATCACTAGAATATAATCATGGATGAATTGGCAGTACTTTTGTTACATAAAACAGAACCATTTTAAGGTTATAAATCTAAACAAAAGTTAAAATTTTGAAATACTTTAACATCTATAACTGCTCCAATAATTTGTTTCCAATAAAATTTAAATGTAAATATATTTCCCTATTTTATTTTTTGTCTTTTTTGAGACAAGGTCTCACTATGTAGTTCAGGATGGCCTTGAACTCAAGGTAATCCTCCTGCCTCAGCTTCCTGAGTTCTGGAATTATAGGTGTGCACTACCATGCTTAGCTACATACTTTAAATAACTACTCAATAACTAGTATTCAATGGAAACTATGGTTCAGGAATATTCATTTAAAATTTATTGGATACTAATACTATATTGATGTCTTTGACTGATAATGAATTGATGCTCAGAGAGGGTGTAAGGAACTTTCCCAGTCACAGAGGTGGTGAGTGGCTGAATTAGGAGGGGATAAGTCTATTAGGCAGCCCAGGATGTTTCTCTCCACTAGTGATCATTACCTCTTTTCCTTCTGCTTCATATGCAAAATGTATTCTTCCAAGCTGTCTTATACGACAGAGAGTGACCTGCAGCTGTATGGACTGGCTTGCTTGGAGGGTATGGAGGGTACTCATCAGGACGTCTTTTTGGGTAATAGTCTAGTAAGCTTATATAGTTTGAGGCCCCTCCATTTCCCACATCCACCTCTATCTTTTCTTAATTACCATTCTATCACAGTACACGTGGACCCAGTAGACATGAATAAACTTGAAAGTATATGAAAAATGTTTGTATCTATGGGCAAAAATCCCTAGGGTTGTGGCATATTGCTTGCATGACACATTCAAAGGAACCCAGGATCCTCCAGTGTTTAGAGCTGCACTGGTACAGTAGTCACTAGCTATTTAATAGAGTCAAAAGTTGATTTATCAGAAAAAAAAGTAAATACCGAAAAGAACAAAGAAACAGCTTCTGAATTTTTCTTTGTGTGACAACTAGTTTTAAGACAATTATGTGTGAAAGAAGTAGTACAGGAGTAAATACACAGATATGGAAGATATTCTAGAGGTCTTGTCCTACCTTCTCCTTCTTCTTTGATGGACTTTGGTTGAGAGACAGCAAAGCACTGCATAGTTTCATATTTCTGATGTGCTTCCTGGTTATCATGACCTTCCTCTTCTGATTCGGGTAGAGGTTTTACCAGCATCCGACAGTTGAAAGTATGGCTGTTCCGCCTGGGAGCTTCTCCAGACCAAGATCCCCCATTTACTAACAAGGAAAAAGTAATCCAATATTACAAAGAAACTAACACCAGATTCACTGCTGCTCAATTATGAAAAGGGTGTAGAAAAATGTGGTTATTTTACTTTTACAAAGTGCTTCATATTTTTCTAAATATTTTCATAATCTAGAGGGGAAAATATTCTTAACAGTTTAACAACTTGGGAACATTCTTGGAATTTTCAAAAAAGTCTTCTATACTTCTTATTCTTCTCCAAGACTGCTTCCCTTCAAGTTCTCGCCTTGATTATTTGTTACTAGAATACCACAGTTTCTATTTTGGGGGTTTGCTATCTCTGATTTCTTGGGAATTTAGTTCAATCTACTTGTATTCTAGTTTTAGATGTGTGACCCCCCTACTCAAAACTCTGTAAATGGCACTGTCACATGCTTCAAATTCTTCCAAAGGACTTGGACTTAATGTAGTCCAGAGTATAAGCCCATTTCAATATATAAATCGCAACCTCATTAGCCCATTTCATCCGTCTAACATATCTGTCACTTTCCAGTTCGAGCCTCTCCATAACCCATCATAGTCCCCCACAGATACCTGCTCCTGCTCCTGGCTCCTGCCCTAAAATATGAGGCTGATACTATCTCTCCCAAAGGTATGTGTGCTGCAAGGCTGAGATCCTCTGCAGGAAACACTCAGGCACCGCTCAGGCTCCTCCACTGCCTCCTCCTACAGATTTGTCTTTACTAACACCTTAGAGACATTTTATTTTATCTGTAACTTGGTTGTTCCTGAATTATTCCACTGTAGTCTTTCTTAACTGGTTCATGTATATTTCCTCAGTAAGACTGAAAAACCCTTGAAGACACAGTGTTGTCATTCATTTCTTTCCATGTGAAAAACTACTTCACATACCTTCTATTTTAGTAGTACCAAAACTCAAAGATGTACATATTAATTCAAGAAAGATATTGAACTAAACAAAAGATATCAGTTTTTTTGAGATGCATTAGAGAAAATGAAAAATAAGAGAATGACTGATTTTGAGTCTTAAAATGTACTTATAAATCAGATGAGGAAAGTGACACTCAAGGAAGTGTTCCAGTACTAGAAGAGCTGGAATCAGAATCAGGCTTAACTTTCACTTTGCTGTTCTCTTCTTTACTGTTCTGTATGCTTTGTTTAAAAACAATGGGACCACGGCTAAGGATTTAGCTCAGTGGCACTGTGCCTGCCTGGCAAGCACAAGGTCCCGAGTTCGATTTCCAGTACCACCCCACCCCCCCCAGACCAGTAGGACAATGAAATAGGAGATGAAAAAAAAGGGATTAAGACAAGCAAATATACCTGCAAAGTCACTGTGGACAATCAGAAGGAAAGGGGTGCTATAGTGAGTCTGGTGCTAAACCCATGACCACTAGACTAGGCTAAAGAGGATGAAAAAGGGAAGAAGCCCTAGGCAGAAAAAAAGTGAACATCCAGCCAACTGTAACAAATTACTTCAAAATTACAGAAGGAACCACAGCTAGCTATATATGTCTTTCAGACATTCAGAAAGTTTACTTCACTATGAACACTTGTAAAAGCTTATTTACATAATGGAGACTATAAAGAGCAAAGAAGAAAAACAGTTCTTATTCAGGTTAATAAGTAAGTTGAAAGAATCCCGGGCTGGGGATTTAGCTCAGTGGTTCCGCTGCCTGCCTTGTAAGTGCAAGGACCCAAGTTCAATCCCTGGTACCAAAAATAAAATAAAATAAAATAAAGGAATCCTATACAAGAATTCATACATTTTTTGCATACATTTGCAATTATTGTGAACAATGAGTTTTCCTATAAAGGAAAGCTAGCCATAATGGAATTTGAAAAGGATCTTTTGCTATTTATGGTGCTAAGGATAAGACGAGATAATATATAGTTTTAAGAAAAAGTAGAGAAATACTTGACAATTTAGGACCTGACCTCATTCTGTATTAAAATACACACTTCTTTTTATCTGTGAAGATGTTCTTAGCATCATCAGTTTAAGTGAGAATATTAAAAAAAGAACCACTGAGTAAGTGGGAACAGCAATATTCTAAGGCAGCAACTAAGGCGGGCCCATGCTGTGAGTCATCCACTTTAGAATGTGGCCCTTTGTCATCACACACACTGCTGGGGAGCAACTCCAAAATGAGGTGAAGAAGTCAGGAAATTTGAGAGGCTGAGTGGGCTAAGGAGGCAGTGTGTGTCAGAGCAATGCAGGACTCTGATATGAAAGTGACCATGTGGGGCTCGAGGGTTGATACATGGGAACTGTCTATACTATTTTGTTCCTTAGGGTTCGAATGTGGAGTACACATACACCATACCCTTTTCACAGGTAGGACTCAAAATGAGTTCAATTTCAAATTTTAATTTTCTATTTTTCTGTTATGAAAAAAAAGGACAGATCTGAGTTGACATTGGATAGGGTGAGGCAATTTGTTACCTTCTTAAAAAACAATAGAAATAAACTCCATGAAACAGTTGTAATGGGTACATTTCTGAATCATTTTCATGTGTACTTCAAAGAGTTTACAATCAAAATGATCATTCATTCAAGATCAGTTTTAAGTTTAAATACTGAACACCAAGAGCCTCCAAAAAAACTACCCACTCTTACCCCCAACTGATAGGATGCAGCTGTTTTTACCCACTCCTACTAATACAACGTGTGTGAATGGGGTCGGGGAGAAGGAGGCTCAGCAGACAATCATTTACCTATAGACTTTGGCAGCAGGTTTTTGACAAATTCAGTGTGGTCCCCAACATGCAGGATGCTATATACACTTTTGTTCATCAGCTCTTCTTGGTTATACCTTAGATACTGTGTCACATTCTCTGAAACAAACACCACGTTGCCTTCCAGATTCACTACAAAGAAGAACCCATCCAGGGCCTAAAGGAAAAGATACAAATTGCTTTAGCAAGAATGCCAAATAAAATTATATGCAACCGTTAAGAAGAGAATGAGCCCTTTAAGGGAAATACTTAATTCATAGGTAGATAAAAGAGGTTTCTCTCAGAAAGTAGAAATTATTCCATTTTTGTTAGTGGGAGAGAGCCTAGAACAGGGTTTCTTGTTATAACTTAAACAAGAAACACTGTTAATATATCAGGAGATCATTACTGCCCAATAAAAGCATCCAGCTTTTTATCTGTATTTTTAAATGGAGACTGGCTTACCTCACAGGGTTAAAAACTTTCGTGTTGGATACCAACTCAATACAGTCATTTTGTTATACAGTTTTTCTTGCTATACGTGGGAAGAAGAGGTCAGTGGCATTTTTTTTTTTAGTTTAAAAATAAGTGTCAAGGATTTAGCCTGCCTCAAAAGTTCAAGGTCCTGAGTTCGAAAAAAGTATCAAGGGGAAATATTACTGCTACTACAATTTTATTACTTTTAAAATTGTAGATGATCACAGAACTTCAAAAAAACACCAGTCCTTTATTGTTTGGCATGTATGGGACAGAGTCTGCTTGTGCTGCTCTCCAGATTAAGATGCAGGTTCCTAAATTACCTACATAATGGTAGTGTGCTTCTCATAACATCACTTCAATATAGTTTAGGAAAGAGATGAAGAATCTAAGATCTTTTCAGGAAGTAAAGATAATAATACTATGCCTTTTACATATTGTGTCATTCCAACATTTAAAACTTTGGAAGGAATCTTTGTTTATTTATTTGTTGGTTGGTTGCTTTTTTGAGATAGGTTCTTGCTGTGTACTTCAGGGTGGCCTTGAACTCACTATGTAGCCCAGGCTGACCTCAAATTTGTGGTGATCCTCCTGCTTCAGCCTTCCAAGTGCTGGGATCACAGGTGTGCACCAGCACACCCAGCTATCTCTATCAATTTAAAGAAGAGAAAATTGGGGATCAAAAAGGTTAGGTGATTGCCCAAGATCTTATAACTAGCCAGTGACAGAGCTTGAATTTGAATCTAGACAGACATGACCCTAAAGGTCAAGGTTCCAATTCCTAAGCAGCAGTGTACTCTCCTCCACCATTCGCCCCAGTCCCATCACATCTGCCTTGGCAATCAAAAGGCTGGGGTTCAGTGCATTTCTCCTAGGTACATTACCCCTGCTCCCCGTTTTTGACCACTGAGTATCAGAGCTCTGTTTTAGGGATCAGGTGAATGATCAAGACTAGAAAAGGCTTGATACTGGTCAGGGCCACCTGGTCTAATCAGTTTATGCCAACTGGTTTCCTCATGATATGTGTTTAACATGAACAACACAGGTAACTGTGGGCATAGATAGAGCCTTAAGTGTTTTGTTTTCTCTCAAGTTTGTTTTTTCTTTAAATTATCATTTAGCAGACCCCTATTCTGTGAGGTATCATTAAATATATCCCACCTTTACATCTATTTTCATTGGAAAACTAAGTGCTCTCTCAAACATAAGTGATATAAGCTAACCAGTGAGAAGCTTCTTAAAAAAAAAAAGTGATATTGGCTGGAGATTTAGCTCAGTGGTTCTGCTGCCTGCCTTGCAAGTGCAAGGACCCGAGTTCGATCTCCGGTACCAAAAAAAAAAAAAAAAAGTGATACTGGTTTTATGTTTTTCTTAAATATTCTGTCAGGTTTTCTTATAGTAGACTGATACTAACCCTCGAGAACTGTGTGTACAGGTAAGCACTGGCAGGGGGACAGGAAGGCAGCTGATTAGCTCTGTACCAAGTATTCCTTTTAAACTCACTGTGTTAGATACACATTCAACAGGGATTTTCATAATTATATTACCTATAGTTCACTTTTGAAAGTACACACTGCTTCCCACTTCTCTGTAAAAGGATTGATTTGTGGCGTAATAAAACTGAAAGATGAGGGGCCAGGGATTTAGCTCAGTGGTTCCGGCACCTGCTTTGCAAGTGCAAGGTCCCGAGTTCAATCCCCGGTACCAACCCCCACCCCCCAAAAACAAAACAAAAAAAACCTGAAAGATGGAATTGTTTCATCTCATAAAACTGTTTGTGTTTCACTATGATATCCTCTGATGAAAAAAGCTGATATTTGGTTCAGTTGCCTAGCAACCACTATGCTATGATGTAAGCATGAGTGTGCATCTATGCCTAGGAACAGCTCCATGAGAACGTGTTTTCTGTTTAAACGATCTCATGTAAACGGGTAAATGATTTAAATTCAAACCATGTCATTAGATTCAAACACTATCTTTAACATACTCAGCACTATAAGTCCTGCTACATAGGTACTTGCTCAATGCACTAAATTCTGAAATATCATTCTGAAACAGCAAAAATGCTGGTTTGATTTTGAGTAGGTTCACTGACATCTAGCAGTCTGATTTTCTACCATTAATGAGCTTAAACTCAAAGGGCTTGAATCACAGTCTCATGGTTACTCCAAGCATTTCTTTTTTTGGGGTATCGGCGATTGAACTTGGGGCTTATGCTTGTGAGGTAGGGAGCGGAAGCACGGAGCTAAATCCTGGGTCCAGCATTTCTTTATAGAAGTCTCAAAAGTCTTCCCAGGAGTTTCTACTCTAATTTTTCCCACCAGAAATGATGAATAAACACAGACATATACAAATGTCCTAACTGTAACTATTTAGCTTATTCTAATTTTCAAATCACTTTTCTGTTTTTAATTCTAAAGTTTTTACAAAAGAAATCACCCACTTTCTTTCATGTAATTCTAAACAGTCCACTTAGGTATACAGTCTTCATTATCTGCTTCTAAGAACCAAGTGGGAAGCAGCATTCTCTGGTCTTCCACTGCTGCTATGAGTATGGAAAAATCAGGTTAATTGTATTTCTAGTTTTTCCCTGGAAATTGTGGTTGAATGTTTTAAAGCCAGTGATTCAAGGGAAGATAAACAATAACTAACATTGGGTCATTTAAAGGCTTTTGGCCAGCAGGTCCAGCCCTAGGGAATGAATTCTGTCATTGTAAATACAAAGACTGGGTCAGATGATCTTTAATCTTTTTTTTCTCTCTCCCACCTACTGCCCCCAATTATATGGTAGATTTTCACAGAATTAGATTTTCTAAAAATAAAAATCATATTATTCAGCAACTAAGAAAAGGTGACAATAAGGTCAAGAGAGAATTAGTTATCTTTGTTTTAAAAATCATAATTTCTTATATATGTGTGGCGGCTGCAGCAAGCTTCTGATTCTATGACAGTACTGTACGCTCATATGGTATTTTTCAACCCCATCATATTATCAGCAAAGTAAATTATCTTGAGAACTGACATAATTTATGTCTCAAGGTTCCTGTTTCTTGTTATATTCACTGACATTTTTTATTCTCTCACTCTAGCCTACACCTTGAATTTTAATTTTGGAACAGGTATAGCAAAGCAGTTGGTATTTAGTATGTGTTAATAAAATAGGAAAACTAGATGTCACAAATTCTAAGCAGTAGCCAGCCATAAATCTTCCCAAAGTTAATAAAGAAGACACAGTTAAGATCAGAGCCATTACACTATACTAATCTTAGAAATTCCTTCTGTCTATTCCTTCAGTTTTCATTTTTATGAGGTAAATAAGCTAGTTTGAAGTAGCACACACAAAAACCAGAAGCCTCCTCTTTGTTTCTCAAATTTTAACCTGGATATATAGGCAGAGGTACATGGCATACAGAAAATTTAAAATTTTGGGGTAACATTCCAAACTAAAATATACCATAGCACTCAACAGCACTTGTGAATGTAATTTTCCAAAATGAGTGCTCAACTGTCAATTTATATTCTCATTTGATTAACTTAATTCCATACTGTTAGTTTCAAACAGACATGCTAGCAGCAGGCTCCAGAACACACACTGATAACATGTACATGTTAGTGAGCTCAAGAGGTCTGTAATATAGTACTAATGTGAGTTCTTCTTAAATTGTATTCACTGGCAATTACCATCATGTGAAGATCAACAACAATTTAGAATACAGAACCAAAATGAAGGCATGCTACCTCAAGCATCATGGGCCCCAGCGCATCCTTGTCGATGACACCCTGCCCTGTGGATGATACGTCTGACTTCTGCACTTCATCTATGTTGGCAGCTGCTGCTTTCTCTGCAACAAAAAGAAGTGTGAATGAAATGGTTGTGCTACTTCAAGGGCAGAGTTACACAAAAATATTTTTATTGTAATGATTTATAAAACTCCCTGGTAGGATAAGATCTGGCTATAAAAAACAGTACATCCCCCTGACCCTGAGTGGGAGAAAAGGCTGGAAGCAGGAACCAAACATTCACTTTTCACCTCCAGAACCTGTGGCTCTGATCTCCTTTTGGGTTGCTGAGTAAATGAGTTTAGGTTTCACACTAGTCCCCGACAGGCATTTCTGTAGATTATGAAGCCACCATATACTATGGCACAATTAGTTTCTACTCAAGAGAGTCCCAAAACTAGGATAAATGAGGGCCTGTTGTTCAGAATTCAGTAGCATAACATATTTGATGAAGAATATCATGAAGTCCTGCCCTGCTGTGGTTGCCCCCACCTGACACTATATAAGGTCTGCCTGGACTCTTTAACTATTCCACTTCTGGTCACATTTAATTTAAAGTGATCAGGAAGCCGAGGATTTAGCTCAGTGGTGCTGCCACCGCCTGCCTCGCAAGCGCAGGTCCAGAGTTCAATCACTGGTACCAAAAAAAAAAAAAGAAAAAAGAAAAAGTGATCAGGAAAGATTTGGTACCTAACCTATTCAAAGGGCTTAAGGATTTAAAGTGGAGGGACGAGACACCCATCAGGCATCCAGAGAATGTCCTTTGATCTACTACAGATGTGTGTGACACATGCTCCTGGACTGAGCTTGGCAAGGCAGGCAAGCTGCAGATGAGACTATTGGGGGGGGGGGGGAAGCTCGCAGGAGAAAGATGCATACTTAACAATATGTGTAAGGTAGTTATTTCAAGAATACCAAAAAAAAGTTTAAAGTGTAACTGATACATATCAACAACCTGCTAGAAAACAACACAAAAACAATGTGTCAATTATTTGTTCCCGAATAAATTATACCCTTGTTTACACTGAATGTTGCCATTGTGATTTAATGAAAATAAAAAACCCCCAACAAACTGTAACTCAATTTAGCACTCATAAACAACTGCTTTCATGACTTTTGTAAAGTTTTTCTTTAAAATTTTTATGCAGGTTTTTAAAATTCCAGATTAAAAAAATCTGGACAGGCTAATTTATGAAACTCAAATATAATTAGGAATCATCCACGTCCTCCAAATCTTGCCACTCCCATCCATGATGGAAACCTCCCGGGACCCGTATATTCATCAGTGGAATGGAAAGAGGACCTGCCTAGTTCAGGTCCAAACTCAGCCACTTACTATACACATCAGGACTTCAAGCCAGTTCTAAGGCTTTAGTTTCCTTTTCTGTCTTCTGTACATCATGGACTAGGCCAAGGATAAATAAAATGATATGTAAGACACACTTTAAAAATTACAAAGTTGTTTTTAGATGTAACTCATTACTAGCACATACTATTTGTATTCATTAATTCTTCCTTATTGAATTCTGTATGTAATTTTTTTTTTGGAGCTTATCACAAGCAGACTGTATCTAGTTTTTCATATTCTCCTACCTCCCTGAATCATCAACTTCTCAGAGCTAAAAAACTGTGACCACCTATAGAGACAGGACTTGTTTGGTAGCTTTTATAACTCAATATGGTGTGGGTTTCCCTTAATGCCAGCTCTCTACAGGCTTGGTCTCATCCAAACTTCCCAGCCAGTCTCCAGCTACAGGACACAGGACTGGCTCAGCCAACTACTAACGAAGATCTTTTTTTGTTGTTGTTGTTACTGGGGATCCAACTCAGGACCTCGTGGTTGCAGGGCAGGCGCACGGCCACTGAGCTAAATCCCCAGACCACGAGGATCTTTTTATTGCTAAAGTAAATGTACACTGGGGCCTGCGTTTTGTTTTTATTCTTTTTTTGACCAGTTTACTCTGTAAGCGGTAGATTTCTCCTTAGGTTCTGCTCACTCTCTTACCTTTCAGAAAAGGGACAGGATGTCACTATCACTTGCTCCTTCATCTAGTTTTCAGGGGCCATTTTTCCTCATGTACTATCCCCCCCCACCGACCCCTTGGATGGAGCAGGGCTCCTATACTCCTCTTAAATGCCCTATATTATGTAGGCCCTAGCATGCTTCAGACTGAAGGCTCCGTGAGCTTAATACAAAATCTCAAAACTCATGTACTAAGTATAACGGATTTATGCGGTCCTTTTGTATTCTTATTTCTGTTGTGTCTTCAGTGTACAGGAGCAAGGAACTGACATCCCACAGGGTGAGGGGCCTGCAGCCTTTACTCTGCCTCCCTGCTGTCTGCTGGGTACCATTCTCTACCCAGAAATATTCTTTAGCAGTAGCAATCATTCTCAAACTGGAATGTTGTAATACAGACTGAAGAGCCTTCCATCATGGCTCATTCCTAGGAGGTATTCCCATTCTCCTTCCAGCACTGCCACTAGTTCAGAGTTTTTCAAAAATATCTGGTGTCTGACAGATGGACTAGACACTCCACCGGTAGTAGATCCTAGAAGTGTTAGGAGCAGGTGAAGCTGTAAGTGGAAGAGTGTGAGGCCCTGGGTTCAGGCCCAGCCCCACAAAGAGGAAGAAAAGAGAACAAACAAAAGAATAAGAGAAAGAAAATTTAAAAAATGGAAATTAACAATGTTGAGGGAGAGTGAGAAATGAAACAACAGTGGCTCATTCAAAGACAGCTCTGTACCTATTACTGGACACTAGAAAACTGCAAGCTATTGTCACATGAGATTCTAATATAACAGTAGGAAATCAGTTTTCTGTGGTGTCTACATTACTGCTGCATTTTAGAGCAAATACAAAATAATTTTTGTGATAATAACTTAGGACCGTTTATAGACTTTGTGAGACATTTATATTTTGAGGATCTGACAATCTTTTTGAGGACCTAAATTCATCTATTAATATTTTTGCAGAGTCAAAAAAGCTTTTACTAAGATAACTCAATCAGGCAGGTTCCTAAACACTGCTAGTCTGGGCATTCTAATATTTTAGCAACATGCTTAGGCAAAGAATTTGTGACTTTTATCAGAAGATATATAGAATCAGGGCCAAATGGACATAATATTTTATTATTGAGAATTTACACATTAGATATAATTTGGGATAAGTCTAAATCTTAATTAAAACATAATTTAGATCTAATAAAACATGTATGTGGGAGACTACTGGAAATCCTGAATAAAGAAGAATTTTCACCCTGAAAAGTTACCTATAATGACAAAAAACATTGGTTTTTTTTGTGTTTATAATATTTAACTGATAAGCCGGGGATTTAGCTCAGTGGTTCTGCCATCTGCCTTGCAAGTGCAAGATCCCGAGTTTGATCCCCGGTACAAAAAAAAAAAAATCAACTGATAAATGTTTCTTTGAAAAGCAGCAGCAGGTATCAGTAACAGGATGAGCAGCTTACCTGAGCCCATGTGAGGAGAAGAAATGTGGCTTCGGGAGGGCTGCAGTGGTTGCTGACTGTGCAGTGAACTATCTTTGTCACCTGAGAGCTCATGCTTTAGCCAAGAGGGCAAAACAAGTCAATGAACCAATGAAGACAACAAAGGGCTAATCTGCTAAGAATGGACTTTAAGCTCAAAGAAGAGAAAAAGATGGCCCAACATAGCTGAAAATATTCACATACTCAGTGGATTCTGAGGGGATGGCAACAAGAAGACAGGTGGCAATGCATTTGTGGCACTGGACCAATAGGAAATCTTAATGTGGCCTTTAACATCAACACTTAGGAATACTAGCCAAAAGTTCTCATCTAAACTAGAGCTCTACCAATTTCTGACTGAAAATGAAACAAACCTTTTCATGAGATCAATTTGAAATTATTTTAGGAAAACAAGTGACTTGAAAGAAAGCCCCAACTGAGTCCGTAAGATTAACTTCAAGGGAACTTTAAAAAGTTGCAATGTTTAGCCAGGCATGGTGGCCTATGCCTGTAATCCCAGCACTGGGGAGGCTGAAAGAGTATCATCACAAGTTCAAGGCCAGCGTGGGCTACACAGTGAGTTCAAAGCTAGCCTGAACTACACAGCAAGATCTGGTCTCCAAAAAAAAAGTTGGAATGTTTACACAAATGAAATTTATGTACATTAAGAATGGGACATTTTCAGCACTTGTAACTAAACAAGTAAGAGCTAAAGGGTAAGAACTCAGGGCGTTTTACTCCTATCCTCAACAGAATGTTTGGAATATATGTATTTTCTAGATAATTTGTTACCTATTTTTCAATTCTGTATTGAATTTGTGCTTTCGCCATTTCTTAATATTAAAAAAAATCAGTAACATAAGGTAACAGAAAATATTCAGAAATATGGTTTTATCCAATGTTAACTGGAATCTAAATGAAACAGGCCCTGAATTTATGTTATTTGGGTACTTTTCATGAAGTAATTACCGCCTCTGTTCAATGTTCAGCTGAGCCTTGAAATTAAACAGAAGGAGGGGGAGAAAGAGGAAGACACAGACTTCTTTGATATATACTGTTACGCTAACTGGACATATACTGTTGTTTTTTAAAAATAATATACTGTTATCTTACAGAGCATTTTAGTAGTGAGTATCCTATTTTTATGTAGCAGATAAAAATAAGTTTAAATCCTTAGATATATTTATCCTTCTGTAAGTATAGCATTACTATATTAAAACACCCTATTTTAATATTTTTAAATTAGGCAATTTTCTCAGTGGTCACAAACTGTATTTAGTTTTCCATATTTTGCATCCATTAAACATAAAAATATATTCTGTTACAAAAATATCCTTCAGTAAAGTCAATAGTAGAAAGCTAGTTCCCAAGTTTCATATGATCACAACCTTAAGAAATCTCATTATTACAGATGGAACTCTTACACCAAAGAGAGATGCTAAAATTTAATTTTCAGAGCCTAAGAAAAGATTTGTCTTTGTGCCTTGACTTCATCATGTCTTCCTGCTGCACTTTAACCATTAGTTATTCTTTTTAGGTAAAGAATATGACCTAAAAGAACAACAATAAAA